GTTCTATGGCAATGTTTGACTATGAAGGGAGTGCCAAGAAAGTACATTGCACTAATCAAGGCACTCTACTCAAACTCACGTAGCTGTGTAAGGGCTTATGGGGAATTGTCATCTGAATTGATAACAACCAGTGGTGTCCGTCAAGGATGTCCACTTTCCCCTTTTCTGTTTAACTTCATCATAGATATGCTAATGGAAGTATCCTTAACCGAACGTAACGACTTAGGAATCGACTTGTTACCAGGGAATAGTCTTATAGACTTAGAATACGCAGACGACATAGTCCTGTTAGGGGAGGACGCTGACAAAATGCAGAGTCTTCTGAACACCTTGAGCAGCAATCTTCGTATGTTTGGCATGCGATTCGCCCCTGTGAAATGTAAGATGCTGCTACAGGACTGGACTACGTCAACTCCAAGCTTAGTGATAGGGAGTGAAGTGATAGAACATGTTGACCACTTCACCTATTTAGGAAGTTGTATCAGCACCAACGGATTGATTGGTGACGAAATCACAGCACGGATCCAGAAAGCTAGGGCTGCTTTCGCTAACTTACACCGTCTCTGGCGTAGGCGTGACATCCGACTGTCAACCAAGGGACGTGTATACTGCTCAGCAGTTCGCTCCGTCCTTCTCTATGGCGGTGAGACGTGGCCATTGAGAGCGGAAGACATGAAGAGATTGTCTGTTTTTGACCACAGATGTTTACGATCTCTTTCTCGCGTTAGGTGGTATAATAAGGTAAGTAATGTTGACGTTAGGCGTAGAGTGTTGGGCAAAGAGGGAAAATCACTCGAAGAGGCTATGAAGTTACATAGATTGAGATGGTTAGGCCACGTGCTGCGCATGCCTAACCATCGTCTCCCCCGACGGACGGGCATTACTAGCTGATATAGGTGCAGGTTGGAAAAGAGTAAGTGGTGGCCAAACAAAAACATGGCATCAATCCATGAAATCCTTGACAGTTAAACTGAGTCAGGTAGGGAGATGCAGACTTCCGGGTTGGGGCCCTCGGGACTCTAAGAATCAATGGCTGGAGACAATAGGTGACATGGCTCAAAATCGTTGTCAATGGCTTACGCAGATGTATTCAGTCTCTGTAATCTTCATATTCCTTTCTACCATTACTCATTCTGTTTCACTCTTATACTTGTCAAAACTCTATTGATTCTCTTCACTCATTTTCTTGTCTACCTTTGTGTGCTATTTGGAACGTGGCAACTCGAACTGCTGCACTTCGGTGCCAAGTTCTATGTTGAATCCAGACAGACAGAAGCGTTTCCAATAGCCTGCTCCAAACGTTCACCAACACCTGACTTCAATCTGTGCCAAGGATGAGAATGGCCGATTAGGAAGGATAAACAATGAGTAGCTCTGACAACGAACAAACCATGAATCCAAAAAGGAAATAGAGATGGATTAGAGACACGCTGAGGAGATCGCTGAGTGTCCTCGAGCGAAACGAGTTGGTTGTGCGTCCATGAATGAAATGGAGTGAGTCATGTTAGAAGCAAATGAAAGTTCGGCAAGAGTAAACAATAGACACCAAAGTCAAATGACTTTGCAAAAACTGGTCCCAGGTTCTCATAGAAGTGGTTATAGACATATCAAACCAATGTATTCTCTATTTCTCCAGCTGTAGCAGATACTGGTTGCATATACGCAATATATTACTAAGGGAGCGCTTTGATTTCGAGAAAAAACCACCAGTTATGTACGGCTTACCAACTTATACAGACATCCTCATATAAAATGGTTGCATCTGAATGTATAACCATCGATAGCCCGACAATACTTTTGCAGAGTCATTATCGCTCCACATCTGCGTTTTATTCCTGTCTATCAATACATTTTCCACAGAGAAGTCAAAAACCAAATCTAGGAGACACTTTCAACAAGATTTATGACTAGCAACCATTTGTAATGCTGAGCTATCTGGTTGGCCAAATCAAGGTCATTTTACTTTGGTGTCTGTTGTCTACTATTGTCGAAAGTTTATTGGCAATCATAGGAGCCAGCTAACAATGACTACAGAAAACACAGTATGAAATGGAGATGTAGTAGTGCTCAAAACCCAAAGTTCCAATCGCAGCCCAAGGGGAATTAATAGGAATATAATTGTGAAGCTATGACTATAATTCGATCAAGGAGTTCGAATTTAAGTTGAATTCTGTCCCACTAGACCACCTAACTAGCATTCAGTATTTATCGCTCACAGCTAAGCAAATACGCCTGCACATGTCTGTTGGGTTAAACAGTGTGATTAATAACTAATGCTTAATACAGCAGCAGCAGCTCATTGTATTAAGTTCCTATAAATACACGAAAAAAAACATAAACTGCATAATTGATAATATCTGGAGTCTTTTCAGACTATAAATAGAAAACACTTTATAACACAGTTAACTGTATCCGTTCTATCTATTTGATGCTAAATATTCATTCATGGGACATTTACACGAATGCCTTGCTACTACAAAAATTGTTAGACAGACGACTTATGAAAAAAGCAAAGAAATTATAAGCAGGAAAAATTCTAATTCATTCGGATATGTCCTCCTTTTTATAGTTGAAGGAAAAAACATGGCTACAAGCAAAGACAATGGTGTGTGTGTGTGTATGTGTGCACAGCCATCCTATGAAAGAACTAATAAACATACAAGTCATGTAAATTATAAAGGGAAACAATGAAGAATTAAGTGGTTATTTTTATCCAGTCAAATGTAATCAGTTCACATGAAATACAAAATTAAAATTGAGCAAAAACATTATTACACAGTTGTACATGAGTTGACTGCAATGGCCTTTGTGGATAATGATTTGCTGTTTGCAACAATAGTATCTAGGTTCGACCCGAATAGGATATGTGCCATTAGTTACCGGAGCTTCAGGTACATGCAGCTGAAAAGCTCCAGGCTGGCAAGACGACAAACCAGTCCAAGATTCTACTGACAGCTGCTATCTTCAACAATATAGTTATTAGTCAGTGTCACATATATTTCAGAACATTAGTACATTTTGAGTGGAACCAATAAGTAAGTGTTCCTACAGTCAGATAAAAGCTTTTAGGTGAGACATATGTAGGTCAGTTGATGGGATTATCAACTTAAAAGTAAAGTGACTAAAGTGTATTACATGCAAACTGCTTTACTATTTGCCTAAGCATCTTATAACTACCCCCACCCACCCTCCAAAAAAGGAATAAAGCAACCTGGTACAGTTGGGAATGAGTAGACTCCAGTCTTTCTCTAAAAACGATTTCAAAATGCCTGCCAGGTAATCCCTTTGCACGGGCATACGATGTTGTTACATAAGTGGAAGAGTGAATAGGAATGATAGGAGCTCATCTTTGGGTTGGTGAACATAGAGGGTTCGTTCACCTACAGGTGGAAATAGCTGATTCCAAAATCATGGTGAATACGAGGGGCTGTAGAATACGAAGTGGTATATGAACCCACTTTTGTCACTACAAACTATGGAAATGCAACTGCTGACGTCACTCTATCATTATGCGTATCGGGTTTCAAGCCGAAGGTTCGTATGAAGATTCATTAAGATAACTACTTGCGCTAGTCTGCGCACTCAAGCCTTCATACAAAACATGAAAAGGTGATTTAAGGGAAAATTCAGCTTATCTCTACACGCTTTGGTAAACTACTCTGTGCTAATGGTATATTGAGATAGCTGATCCATCATTAGTTTGCTTTTATTATCATAGAGAAACTAATGCCTCAAACTCTTATCACTTTTAGTATCTTTACTCTCGTTAGCTGTTCTCTATTTTTGGAATCTCAGTCTGCCTATAAAGTAACAAACTGTTACTCAATTTACTTTCAGAAAGTCGGTCTCCACTGCGATATTTAGCACGGTTGTTCTGACTATGTGTGTCACGTCCACGTCGGCTACCTACAACATTCGTACAGTGACGCAAATTGAATATCAATTAGATATCCCCAGAAGCCTGCAGCTCAGAGATTCGCATAGACGGTTCCAGTGAAGTGCTTTGAATAACGTTTACATCTGTAAGCCATAATAGTATATGTTTCAGCTGCACTTATCCAAGAACTCTGTGGTATCCGGCAACCAGGTTAGCAGCTGATGTCGGTGTCACCCTGACAGCCACAGCCGAGGACGCGTTACCTGACTGGATTTCTATAACAATAATTTATGTGCTGTTACACTAGGTTACGCATCAGACTGCATACCCACCAGCGGATATCAACTGAAGGGTCATCACATGTGAATTATAACCTAAACTGAATGACTTTCTCTAATAAACACCCTCAGAATATATTCATCGATTTAACTGAAGAATGCATAGATCGAGCATCTAGGCGTAGAAGAAGAGGGTCATTACAGTAGTCAAAGATGACCAAGTAGTAGTTGTAACCAACAGCATTAACCACCGCTATCAAACCTAGTTCTCTAGCTTAGGCTCAAATTATTGAGACTACTATTAATTAGTTACCAACGCTGCGCTGACGCGTACAAAAACACTTACAGCGCTTTAACGTATGGCGAGGTTTCGATGGTTGTTAGAGACATAGCCTAAAACAGTTCGATACAAGCATCGGTGGCACAGTGGTTAGGACTCTCACCGACCATGCACATGGTCCGGGGTTCGATCCCCTGCCGACGCACACCCGATATCTATGGTCGGCCTGCGAAATTGTGGGCTACCGATATCCATGCTGAAAATTCCATACTCGTACTGAAAATACGGTGTGGCATCAAGCTGTAATCAAAATTAAATTAATTAAATTGATTTCATGTGCTACTTACTACAGCAAAATATTCAATTGTGTTAAATTCAAGATTAGACAGCGAACCCCCAGACTGCAAGACTACAAGAAGATTACAAGTAAATTCGCGGAAAACACGAACACACATGTTTCTGATACTCGATGTATGCAAGAAGTCAAGTAGATGCCAATTTTGTAAAGTAAAATGAGCAAAGAATACAAAAAACTATTTTAAAAAAAGTAATCTATGCAACTTACATGATGAAAAATTTCGCCAGTTCGAATTATTGACATTTTCAATTCCATGTAAACTGTTTGACCGATATGATCGTGTTTCCCATAAATTAAACGGTGGTGTGATCCCATGAATTCTAGCCCGTCCAGAACGTGATGGTCGAGAATAGTACTGCCGGTTAGTACTTGTATACGTCAGATCAGACAATGAACAGTACGGACGTGTATGCAGATTACGGCGTAGATAGGCTCTACGACCAACGAGACTTAACCATGTTAATAAACAGAAGCATGCTAAAAGCATGGCGGGAATTTTAAACCAAGAATAGGCAGTTTTACACGGTCGACATAAACATGGATCTAGGAAATATTCACTGTGAAAAATAAATATAAATTTTCAAGAAAACAAATTGTCAGATAAGTATTGCACAATAAATAATTGGAGAATCAACAGCAAAAACTAGAATACAGAGCAAAATAAGTCTTGTTTTTAAGTGCATCTCTCATGTACAAAGTAATGACAACCAAACACTGAATTCGTCTCGTCTCGTCATATAGTAATTAATAATGTTTAGCGTAAATGTCATAAAGATGGGAAAGTGTATGTTTTCTAATGTCAAAATAAAGCTGTAAATGAATTCTGAAAGCAGTTTTAACTAAAAAAAGAAACCCACAGTTTAATAGTGTGTTAATGATAACCAGCATGCCTGTGAAACTGTTCAACTTCTACTTCTATTCTACTCAAAAGTCTTGATAATTGTAACCTTTAAGGAATGGTGATTTCTGTAGCTATCATAGTATGTAATCTACACATAAAGATGAGTAACACATTATGCAAACGACAGCTATCGTGAAATATACCCATTTATTCATAAAGAAAAATATAGTTCTTTTTTGTTTAGGCATCAACTCGCACTAGAAATTGCTCAGTCAATATTGCACATAAATAAAGATAATGAAAATATAATAAGGGGGTAGAGTCGAAGTCCATGAATTACAAAAATTTCAATGATTATTTAAAAAAAGTGAACTGGTATTACGAATTTAGAATTGTAGGTCAGGTGTTGTCTGAACAATTAAGAGTACGTTGGTGATAACAATTAAAAAGGGCGAAGATGAAGTGAATAAGTGGAATGGATTCAAGTGGTAAAATAGAATAAAATAAACAAGGAATATCACTATGACCAAGGCAAACAAACGGAGGCGTCTAACAAAACGCTTTTGAACACACCATTTAGGTTTCTGTCAATCTGTCTCTTTTCAACATAGAACTTTGCACCGATGTGTAGCAGTTCAAGTCGCCACACTACATGTACATGTATAGCTAGAGCTTCAACTATGCATAAGTGGAGGAAACGTAAGCTTTTCGAGTGATCGGATTTGGTCCCGTAGATGACTTCAAAGGATAAATCACGTGGAGCTGAATCATCTGACTCCAGAAGGTGTTCACAGATTCAAGACTTTGTCGTCCCTTTCTCACACCTTTCATTAACCAAACTGGGTAGTGTCCAGCTACGCGTTCACGGAGATTACGATTACAACATCCAATGGAACTAGCTACACAGCAGGATGTGAATCAGTATATGAACATTGACGTGGACATTGTCCAATCATCTTTCGGATGGCAAATACTAAATGTAAGTCAGCTGCACAAAAAAATCGTTTAATACATTCACATAAACGACCTCCAATTAATTCAGAAATACTGTAATCTTGTAACGCCAAACTCGTAGAATACTGTGTCTTCTTTGGTACGCTGATTTGGTAAGGAATGGTTTCTCTGTCGATAAACCTCCTAGGATATCCATTATTTAAGGGAGGTGGGCGAAGGCTTTCCAAGTCGGCTGTATCTACAGGGAAAATTTTCCGAATTATGGAGCATGGAGAACGGTTAAGATTTCTCTGTCTACCTAGATGTACTCAACTGCTGAAGTTAGTGTTATGACCTGTAAATGTTGGCTTTTATTAGATCGACCTTTCTAACGTGCCATCGTCTCTCCTATCTAGTATCACATTTTATAAGTGAAATCCGGAGTTCATCTAATTCCACTCTACCCACTTAGTACATCATTTTAATGATCTTTATTCTTATCATCATATGTGTAATATCGAGTGAGCAATTTCTAGTGTGACTTGATGCCTTCTTTTTCCGTAAGATAAATACGACTGTGGAGCTTGAAAAGAGATATTTCCTCTCTGAACAATGGAATACTGTGTTTTTCCTTATGAAAAAAGAAAGTTATGCCAATTTCTTTAATATGTAACCATTGAAGTGCAATAAGAGTAGGATTGTATGTCGCGGTTAGTGTAAAGAAAAAGCTTGGGGGGGGGGGGGGGGAAATATGGAGTAGCTGACTGACAGGATGAATTGAACAGTTAGGTATAGACTGCACACTGTGTGTATCCTCCTAATGTTTTGAATAAACCAATGACTGTTGTTGTGCCACACTGACAGAGTTAAGGTCAAGTGTAATCATATTTAAGACTTCGGTCATTTTTATTAACCCCACTTATGTATTGCATATAAAAGAATCATGAGCTGACATCAGTTAGGGCGATGGGATCGGATCCTAATGGCTTAATGGTCTACGAGGTCGCCTTGTAACCAAAAGGTTATGGGTTCGAACACCATTGGTGGGTGCGTACTAATGAAGAGCCCCAGACTAGGACGACACGACTGTCCAGTACTCCCAGGTTTTGCAATGGTTCTCTAACTGACGTTTTCACATGATGAAATCCTCCAACCACGCAAACAATAATCCCTACAAAACCAATACATGACAAAAAAAGTATCAAATTATTTACACTGCGACGTTTTGATTTCACCTCTATACAAACACAAAAGCCTTTCTGGTGTTTTGGAAACAACTCGTATTAGATTCAAGTCTGAGTAGGAACACTGTCATTCATTCAGGATGCAAGTACATCTCTAGATAACAAGTCCCTGAATTACACGGTTAGTCATCATCAAGCAAACAGCAGTGACTCGACAGTTAGCATCAATATTAATATAGTCGTGAGCAATTAATGGTCTATCAGAATTATATTATCCAACAGACTTTACTTTCATTACTGAGCAGTGTTCTCAACTATAGTGTGTGTACGGATGGAGGTTTTATCTTCAACACTGCTTTAGTTATATAGTAAATAAGGATGTAGTTTCGCTGGTCAGACAGTGTGTGTGGGGGGACTACAGTTTTATTACAGATGAAATTATACTTAATGGACTTGATGAACTAGAAACAACCCTTTTACTAATTTGATGATATTGCGCATATTACCTACAACATCATATCCTGTGTTCACTTCCTGATTTGAAAGACTTAGGAAGTAGAACATTAAGAAAGTCTATATAAAAATCTCAGTAACATGACTACTAACACTCTCTCACACATACACACGCACACACTAGCTGTCAAATGTAATGAATGGTATTTACTAAAACAAATATAATAAGAATAATTGAATATGAAATGAACGGCCTCCAAGTTTTTTTTCAAGGACATTTCTGAGTGTACTTTAGTTATGTCATATAAAATAGATGGTGGTGATGGGTTTTCATGAAGTGTTAAACGGCATATTTAGACACTTGTGAAAAGAAAGTATTACAGGCTTCTAGTGTTTTTATAAATACAAACATAGCATGATTTCGGTTGGATGTTTTTTCCGTTAAATTCTGATTGTCCGCAGTATGTATGTCAAACTACAACCATCTAACAAGGACAAACACATTGAATTTATAAAGATTAAAATACAGAAATCAGTCCAACGTTCAGTATTTCAGTGATCAGAAGTGAGAATATCTGAATGATTTACAGTGATCGGCCTTCGACAGTACGGTCAAGACTCTTCAATTATAACGGTCTCCACAGATTCCTAGTTTAAGGATATCGATTGAAATTGTTAAGTGTGTATATACACTGACCACCTTACTGATTTGAAGGGAATTTAATGGACTCTAACTAACTGGTCATTGGATCAGGTCTACGAGCCAGTCTATAATCGGAAGGTACTGAAGAGTCCGATACTCGGATGGAAGAGCTACCCAGTACTCTCTGGTGTCAGCTCGTGATCAGACCTGAGACCAATCAAATCCAACACTAGACGATACACTTATATGATTTATGGTGAATTCATATAAAAGCTTGCGCCGAAGACGCTGTCCAGAAGGAAAGCAACGAAAGCTTTGCAAGTAAAGTCACCAAGCTGTTCAGAGAACACAATCAAAACAAAGTATATAGGCACACTGAATAATAATAATTAAGTTTTGAATTTATTAATGAATTAATTATTACAACACGGATAATCGTGATTAAATTTATTAATTTTATTTATGCATAAAGTCAATGTGATATAAAATTTCATGTGATAAATAATTGTAAGCGTAATTATAGTATGCATACTCCAGGATCATATGAAAGACTTATTATCCACACAACTGATCGATATTTTGATGCCAATGCAATAACATCATATACAAATTTTTATAGTAATAATAATAGTAATAATAATAATACATCCCATAATTATACGAAACACATTCATGTCACTAGATAGATAAATGCTGTACACATTTATGCCTTTACATTTGTTTGCGTGTGTATGTGTGAGGAGGAGGAGGGTGGGACGAAATACGAGTAGGAATGAGAATTCAATGTGTTAGCGCCTTTTGTTTGCTACTGACTCTATGCACGATGGCACGTAAATATGCATATAAGTGGTCTTTGCTACTCTATTTGCGATTGGCATGTGGTTTGTCGTTTAATTTTTGTAGAAAACTGCCTAGTGACTGTCATTTTTACAATTTAAAAAAATGTCAACAGAGAATCATTAAATCTAGCAAAAATATTCATTCAGACAACTATAAAACACAAAAATAATTGAGCAAAGAATATCCTTTTCGATAAATTCCTCTTATGGCTCTACAATTATATATATATATATATATATATATATATATAATATATGTTTATAGACATAGAATATTCTAGATTAGTAGAGTTAATAACAATATTAGTGTTTTTATAAAAACAAAATAATCGAGCAAAGAATATTCTTTTCGATAAATTCCTCTTCCAGGCTCTACAATTATATATATGTTTTTATACACAGAATATTTTAAATTAGTAGTTATTAACAATATTAGCGTTTTTTCAAATAATATCGATTTGTAAAGTATGATCAATGCTATTGCAGTTCATTAATGATGCTTAAATTATAATAATAATGAAGATATAGTAGCAAATAGAATATCAACTAAAATTAGGAAAATTCCACAAAAATTGAGGATCATTCAAACCTAGATAGCCAAGGTAATGAAATGTAAGCAGTCCGAACAGTTCCAAGATTACGGCTACACAGTGGAAAAGTCGGAAAGTGGAGTGTTCAACTAAATAATTCAGTGAAGTGTAGCGTTCAACACACATACACATATATATTCTGAAATAATAGAGACGATTTATAGCTCAGGTGGATGATTTGCAATTAATAGTGTTCTCTGAGCTGGTGGATTCAGTTGCGGAGCTTTCGTCCTCCTTCTGGACAACATCTTCAGCGCCATATTTAGCACAAAGTGAAATGATTTAAATTTCTTCATGAGTGATATAATTGCGTGTCCTGGTAACCATCTTTACATATGTATTGACCATTTTCTATTGACTTGGATTTTAAACTTTCTGGTCACCTGATTTACTTTTTATTAGTTAGTATATTTCGTCTATATTAACGTGTTTGTTAATTGCATTTTCGTTTGAGTACCAGGCTTCTAGGAATTCCCTGGCACTTCTAGTGTTTCCTCTGTCTAAGATTTTGACGTGATCCCAATCAAATTGATGACCATAATTGTCTATATGCATTGATACCAAAGAATATATATCGTGTCTTTTCACGGCTGATTTGTGTTCTTGGATTCTAATTCGAAGGGGACGCCCACTTTGGCCGATGTAATGCTTGTTGCAGTTCATACAATATATTTTGTAAATGGTATTAATTTTATCCCCTTTTTTTTGTTGGATCTTTCGGTTTGCACAATATCGAATTGACTGGCTTGTGTGCTATATCTATATCAAACGGTTTCAGTATTCTAGCTGTTATTTCAGAGATATTTTTCATTTATGGTAGAATGAATTTTCTTGTGGTCTTTGATGATGGTTCTTTGTTGGTGTTTTGATTCGACTTTAAACACTTTTTGATGGAATTTTGTGGATAACCATTCTTTTTGAAGACCGTTTGTAGGCACTTTTCTTCCATTCCTTTCAACTCTGGAGTGCTACAATGTGTTTGAACTCTTTTAAACAATGTCTGCACACAGTTTCGTTTGTGAGTAACTGGATTATTGCTAGTACAGTTGAGTATTTGATCTGTGTGCGTTGATTTTCTATATACTTGTGTTTCTAAATCTCCTGTGTTGGTTCTCCTAATTAAGACCCCGGTGGGTGCGTACTGATGAAGAGTCCCAAACTAGGACGAAACCGCTGTCCAGTACTCCCAGGTTTTCCAATGGTTCTCTAACTAATGTCAGATCATGATGAAATCCTGTAACCAATCAACCAAATCCCCACAAACCAATACTTGAAAATGGGATTTTGTTATCTAATTCTTCTTCTCTTGTGAATTTGATGTCTTCAAATATGTTGTTTATTAACTTAAGGGTATATTCTAAATCATTTCTCTGAATTATTACAAATGTATCAGCAACGTAACGTATCCAGATTTTCGGTTTAATTATAGGTAGAGCTATTAATTCTAATCTTTGCATATCGGCTTCAGCTATTAATCCTGATATGGGCGATCCCATTGGTGTTCCTTTTATCTGTTCGTATATTTGAGTATTGAATTGGAAGGCATAATTTTATGAGTTCTATCCAATTTAAACATTGCGATTTTATGTTTTCATCACTACAGAGTAATTGTTGCATAGTTTCTGTTGCTAGTTTTGGACTAATTGAAGTATATAATGCTGTGATATCAAAGGATACCATTATTTCATTGTCTTCTACTTGAATGTTTTGATTTTCTCTAAAAATTGGATTGACGAATTGATAGAGTGGTGGCATGATTCTGTTAGGTAATTTAATTTCCTGAAAAGTTCTTTAGATAGATTATATGTTGGTGTTCCTGGAAGCGAAACGATTGGTCGTAAGGGAATGTTTGGTTTGTGTAGTTTTGGTCTACCATAGAATCTACCATATATATTCGATAACATCATTAGGAGCAGCAATCACCTGAATACACGAACTGTGTACAAGAAGCTGTGATTCATTGATATTGCTGCCCAATATGAAATAATGTTTACAATACCGTACTAGCTATATCACATGCAATGTTACACGAACCAGACATCTGAGACGTCAACAGATTTAACGAAGCCGACTTTTCTTCAACATCATATCTTTGGTTGGTCATTACAGAAGGCATCATTTCGAAACATGATTCGATATCTCTAGAGATATCCTAGAGACTCGAATGTAATCCATTCAAAACTCACACTCATGACGAACCGAGAGAGAATAAGGATAAAATATTCAAAATTTTAAAAATTACCTTCAACCGGCAAACATGCACTTTACTAGATTGTTTCAGAAATACAAACGAGTGGGATGGGTAGATATACACAAAGAATTTTGAAAATACTTTTTTTGAAGACTTACCGTAAAATAAACACTGTTTGACGAATGTTGGTAGCGATTTCTTTATTTGAATCATAACGACCGCTTAGACGTCGTGTACACTCTGAATTTAAAGTGCGCGCAACTATTGATCCATAAGAAATATGTATCTGAATAATAAATGCACAAAAAAAGGCAATCGCATTGCACTTAAATGACATTTAATGGCATTCATTACGCAGGCTACAAAAAAAAAGAATATGCAGTGTATGTATTGAGAGGGTTTCTTTCTAATGAATGTGTTAGAAAGGCTAACACAATGCATATGTAACTATGCTTATAGACTGCTTGTGAATATATATATATATATATATATATATATATATATATATACATATATATATTGATCTGGGTGTTGAGTTCACCTGGTGAGTTGGTCATGAAACCTCACTGATGGAAAGTATCAAACAAGAGAGACAAAAGTTAGCTAAAACCAACCTGGCACAAATATTTCATGTACCAGGAAATGAACCATCCATTTATTGAGTGAAGGTTGATGATTCTATCCAGTTGCCCAGACTGAAACAGGTCAGATTTGGACTCCAAAATCATTGTCTGAAAGTCAAATGCCCAAGTTAATAAGCTGCATCTTCCTACGGTATTACTTATGGCTGATGCGTTTTCAGTTGCTTTTACTTTCGGTACTCACAAGTATTCTTAGTTGTTGAGAGGACTTTTAGTCAGATTAAGCTTGAACATGAGATATACATACATATAAGGTGACATATGTGTTCAACTAAAAGCCAGTGAATGATATAGTGTTGTAAATTTAGAAAAATTTGAAGGTTAATTTAGGGGTACTAGTAAAATTGTCTCTACCGAGTTTGTGATTCGGCTACAAAGACAAATGGTTTGATCAATTCCATTGAAGTTGCGGATATATCTGTAGGGATGAAAGCTTTGTACGTATGGAATTGAAGTCTAATGATCTGATGATATTAGATGGTTGGAGGCGATCGGCCATAGGAAGCCTTGCTCGACCTAGGTTTCGTACTAGCTGGCACTCACTAGCCAACAAGGCGTCTCTGCAACCTTGAAGGAACTCATGTCCCTTCTGAGATTCAAACCCGCATCACTCGATGCTGCAGCCAGAGACGTTATCACTGAGCTATTCGGACTCGCAACTGATCTCCTGTAGGACTGTAGTGGATACTTTGAATGGACACTAGTAAGTAGGGTGATGTGTCTAGTCCTTTCTTTGATGCAGACTGAGTTCTATCAGTAAGGTTTGCAATGTGACCACCATTCTAGGTAGCTCGCCATCATGGTGCACATTGATTTGATGTGGTATTAGATGATTGATAGAATTCAGTCGGCACCAAAGAATGAGGACTAGACACATCACACCAGTTACTAGTGTCCAATCAAAGTCGAATGATTCTCAAGAAATATTCAAATCATTTACTTGGATATTTTCAAAAGTCATTTCGAGCATTAAAATTCTACTGGCTAACAAACACTTTAACACATGGACTTCATTAATAGCCAATAACATCATTTGTATGCCATGCCAACACTCACTATCCTCTATACTGAATTTGGGAAATAAGGGAGATGGAGAGGAACAGATTTTAGGGCTTGATAAGTTTTGCATAGATCTGTTATTAGTTTAAAATTACTTTTCTACCTTTCAAAAACAGTACAACTAAATAAACGAGAACAGAAATAAAATGTGATACTACAACATCAGAAGAACGTGAATGTGAGCAAAAAGACACTCTAAGTGTTGTAACATTTCTTGAACTGGATGATAAACAATTGAAAAGCCTTCAATGTCTTTTCAAAATCATCGTCAGTGGGAAATAGTCAGGAGTGAATACATTTGAGACGAGTCACAGTTAGTCTATGACTATTGATTCTTAGCCTACTGAAGTACCCAGTTTAACCGATAGACACATTTTTTTATGTAGCAATCATAAAGAAAAGCTTTCTTTCTGTACAATCGATACTTGCTGTTAATACTGTGTATAAATATGATGTTCGACTCCATAAACAACGGAGTATTCTACGGAAATGAGTCGCTAAAACTCAAAAAAATAATCTAAATAATGTTATATGGCCCAATTTTACTATTATCAGAAATACATCACCTACTACAACCTGACTGAGTTTCAACATGAACCTATGCACCAGTTCAAGGAGCCACAATCCATGTAGCATACAAAGGTAAGTCGGTCGGTCGGTCGGTTTTCGACATAGAACTTTGCACATATGTGCGGCAGTTCAAGTCGCCACAATCCCTCTATGTAGCACACAAAGTAAGAGAAGAAAGTAGGAGAAATGCATAATATAGAGAGTAAACAGAGGTGTGAGACAAAGGAATAGTAATAACGGAGAACAAAACAGTTTAATTGGAAATCATGTCACAAGGAGTGGATACATCTGCGCCACTGAGAACGATTTTGAGCCATGTCACCAATTGTTTCCAACCATACAAAGGTAGGGAAAAAAGAAGTAAAAAGAAATTCAAGAAAAAAACAACTTTAGTGAGTAGAAATTTATAGGGGGAAGAAAGGAGGGTAACTTCAAAAAACATGAGAATTGAATGAATGTAAGTGATTACAAAGAGTGAATACAACTGGGTCATTGAAAACGCTTCCGAGACATATCACCACAAAAGTCTCAAGCCACTTTTTCTTGGCATCACCCAGAGGACTCGAACCAAACCATCAAAGACTTGATGGATGTATACCATGTTTTGATTTAACTTCCCTTAACTCTTCCCCAATTTGATTCTATGTCAGCTAACATTGCCCGACGAGGAAATCTCCCCTTGTTAACAAGCAAAAAAGAACACATTGTGGCATTGATTGACTTTGGTCAAGATCCAAGTGATACAAGAGAGTATATATAAACAGACACGCAAAACATAGTATGGAGACTTCAAAGCCAGAGTTTTAACTTGAACAGTTAAAAAAAAAGAAAGGTAAAAATTCTCTTTTATAAGTGAACCCGTATCTTCAAAGAATTTTTTTTTTTCTTTTCTACATTGGTTTATGCATAAACTCTAATGATTATCATCATCACATGTAGTTAATAAGTAACAAAACAGAACAGAACACAACACAACACTGAGTAGAATAGAACACGTTATTTTGGATCAGATGATTAGTAATAAATTAGTCTATAGAACAATGTGTACACGTGTGTGTGTACTAGAAAGAACAGTGCTATAGCCTTGTAACTAAACTCTAGAAAATTTATTTTATAATTTTTTTTCACTCCACATCCAGAAAACGTATTCCGTTGTTACCCGCTCAACATCATATCTGATAACATTTATTAATGACGTTAAAGCGTTGTCCTGACGAAATCCTGTTATATTTTATAAACTACTTTCAGTGCCGTTGTGATTGTTGTTGATGCTACAGCTCTACAGGTGACCGCGTTTTGCACCATTCTTTATCTACAGTTGAGTAGTAAGTACTCTGTTAGATCTATAGCGTGTGAATGATTCAAGGCATTGTGGTATGTGAATAATGGTTAATGTTATTTGGTTAAATTAATCGCGCATTTCCTGGCTATTGGTTAAACGAGATGCTCAGTCTCTGCTAAGAGACTGACGCCTCCCCACGTACGGATTCTTCGACGATGGCTGACGTTTAAAGTGATGGTATTTATGGTTGACGGCGACTAACAGTAGAAAATCCAGGATGTACTGGACTGCCCCAATGAGACTCAAATCAAGCACCCATGGTTTCAAACACCAAAACGTTATCCACTAGACCATTTAGGACATGAGAGTCACCTTTTGTGCTGAAGTCTGCTTAGGTTAATTTCACATTAGTTTGTTTATTCCATATATCACACAGTGAAACAGTATTATTTACTGGATGACACAGTTTCGAACAAAATTTATTGTTCATAAGCCTATCAATTGTAATCACACGACTTTGACATTTGAGTTCCATAGTTTTCTCTGTTCTCTCCTATTTGTCGTAAGGGTAGTAGAATTTTCCAGATATCGGGGACATGTGATGAATCATTCCTATTACATGTATCTGCAGTTGATTCGATAAACAAAGCTTCTGTTATCAATCTCTCCTTATACCCTGTGACATTAGATTTTGAAACTATCATCTTATCGCATCCTATTGAATGGTTGTGTGTGACTGCATGTGGTGCTATAGCTCAACTATTCTCAAGATTATTATTTTATCTTATTTGGGTCAACTAATCAAGATTTTGCTAATTTTTATGCTCGGCTAGTGTGACTGCCCCTGTTCTACTAGTTTGACCTATGTATTTGACCTGACAATCATTGCAGATAGAGTATTGAATGAACTAAATTGTTTTGTTTTATAGGCTCTACAGGATCCTTTAACCGACAAAGCTTGTTTCTAATTGAGTTTGTGGGTTTGAATGCGATTTTTATTTTCCTTGTTAAGAACAACAAGGCAGGAATAAAAACAATTTATTTCATCTAATACCCTGTCTGCAATGATTGTCAGGTCAAATACATAGGTTAAACTAGTAGAACAGGGGCAGTCACACTAGCCGAGCATAAAAACGTAGCAAAATCTTGATTGTTTGACCCGAATAAGATAAGTAATCTAGAGAATAGTTGAGCCATAGTACTATATGCAGTTACACACAACCATACAATAGGATGCGATAAGATGACAGTTTTAAAATCTAATGTTACAGGGTATAACAGAAGCTTTGTTTATCGAATCAACTGCAGATACATGTAATAGGAATGATTCATCACATGTCCCCGATATCTGGAAAATTCTACTACCCTTACGACAAATAGGAGAACACAAAGAACACTATAAAACTCAAGTGTCAAAGTCGTGTGATTACAATTGATAGGCTTATGAACAATTAATTTTGTTCGAAACTGTGTCATCCAGTAAATAATACTGTTTCACTGTGTGATATATGTAATAAACAAACTAATATGGAATTGCTTACTACCACACTGCCCAAGTTTCACACATATATTCATAAGTTAATTTCACATTTCCTATTGAATCATATTAGGCTGGAATTTACGGGACTACAGGGGCTACATCCAGATAACGAGTGCCAAATAGGACGACGATATAGGAGTCCTAAATTTCAGTTCTAGTCACCATCTACCAAAATAACACAGTGACTTTACTTT